GAGATGACGGAGATAAGAACTCCATTGGGAATATTTTTTTCCTACAATTCCAATCAATACACAACTTCGTAGAGATATATACAGACAAGCTCTATTATCACAACGCACGATCAATAACAATAAACAAACCGCGAATGACGTTACGTAAACAAAATTTCTACAGTACTGGCACGTGGTGGTACCTGTGGCATAAAACTCATGGTGGACAAAACCTTAGCGAGTGACTCGTCATGATAGTAGCAGAGAGCTCCATACGCAGTTTTTTTTACGTCTGCTTCATAATAAGATTTCGAGAATGGAATTAATTCTTTGGAGTCTTCACAAATGTTGTGGGTATCATGAATGTGGGTTTTTTTTTAAATCTTAAGGTAGATAGATAATAGAAGGGCACTACACAAAAGTTACCTCAGCTTTCCTCTTTGAGCGCTTTTTCCGAGATGACTAAGAGTCGTCGTGAAAAGGATAAAAAAGGAAAGGATAGTCTTTTCAGTCATCACTGTAGAACTCTTAACAAAGAGCCTTCGATTGCAACTTATCTAAGCCATAGTGATCAAACAGCTTGGGCTAAGATCGAAGTAGAAAAATCGCCATCAGAAAAAGGTCCCCGCAATGTACTTAGGTTTTTGTAAGTGCTAGTTTTGAAGTAGCTGCTGTACTTGTACGTAAAGATAAGTGCAAAAGCAAACACAAAAATTGTTCTCTGTACCTGGTATCACGTGCAGCTTACCCATGGAAAATCATGACTGTAGTGCAATTAATATTACTATTTCGAGCTAATACATTACACAATTGCAATCAAACGTTCGCGGTATAGTAACAGAGATGCGGAAGTGTATGTTCCAGATGTACGCGATCCCCTCAACAAAATAGTGATCGATCAACCATGCTTCGTTTTAAAACATAAGCGAAAGTTCAAATTCGAGCTCGAAAGTCGAATATATATCGCATTTGATCTGTGAAGGGAGCTAAGCACTACAAGGCTCAAGTTACATCCCACACCTTTGTCGGTTAAGAACGAATGAGATAAATAAGTGAATAAACATCTGTCACAACAAAAAATATGAGTGATTCATGACTGATAACGAGAAACGGAGACGAGCCTACTCATCTCGCTGCGGTTCCTGCATCAAATCGGCGCCCATCATTACCAGCTGGAAACGGGCCCGCCTCAACTCAATACTGTGCAACTCCCTGGCTCTCTTCTCTTGATTAGCCAGATATTGAATCTCCTTTTCGAGTTTTTCGTTCTCGAGTTCCATTTTTCTGAGCTCTAGCTGCTGTCTTCGTCGCAAAAAGTCGCAATCGTCACTGATATCACGATCGCAGACGCTATAAGGGCATTATATGAATGCGTCATGCGAATAAATGCGGTCGTACCCACCATTCAATCGAAAGTATCGCGCACCTGTTTGCTTCTGCTCTTCTTGGACGTTTGGCTGAACAGTGGTGAACTGCATCAGACTTGTCAATGGCATCAGATAAGGTCTGCGCTGAACTGTAAGCAGGTGTTTCAAATTCCGTTCAAGTGATGATAAAACGGAACTAAACAGCTGTGGAAATATCGTCGAAAACTTAGGGAAGATATGATTTTGAAAACATGCACGAGAGGACAGGGTCGCTCAGGATCTTGGGGGCATCACAACAGAGGCAATGCTAGGACTAGACCCAGGAGAGGGGAGAAACTCCTGGAAGAACACATATTGCTCACGTCCTCGTCCGAATTCTTTCCCTGCCTAAAGCTTATGGTTAGTCCCAAGCACAGCAACTGGCTCACTAACTGGAATGTTCCCCTCCCCGTGCCCCACCCCTCCCAGACATGAGCGAAGAGGACAGTGAGATTCATGAGCGATAAGATCTCAAAATTTGAAAAATTTAAGAAGAAAAAACAGTGCGGTCCATCACTAAAAGCATGAGGAACTTTGAAGGAAAAGTAAGAAAATAAAGTCTAAAAGAAAGGGAAGACGAACCTGTCTGAATAGGTGTCACGATGGGGCAAAGACAGACACAAGCCGTCCTCTTCCTTCTTAAGGTTAGAACATAGGGAATAAGCACCATTAGAATCATAACAATCACCAGACTGATTTGATGAAGTCTGATCAGAAGAATATCTAGCCACTTGAGAATGTGAAGAAGCGTCATAACAATTGGACATTACTTCCGTTTCTACTGAGCACTCTGTCTCTCGCTTCATTTCAGGACTCTGAAAAGTGTTACCATGATATTGCCAAACAACCAAGTTCCACTTTTTTGTCGAATAACAACGAAAATGAATATTTCGAAAAAAACCTGAATAATTGGCGAGCATTCAAGGACAAAATTGTGAAGTACATGAAAATATACCTTGTTGACGAGATCGAGATCATCGTAAGCCGTATCAGGCAGTGGTTGCTCAATCGAGTCCTCTCCGAAAAACCGAGAGTGAGAGTTACTAATGATAGACAAAACGAGCCGATCCAAGTATCTGGGGGAAAATGTTATATGAAGGAACAGGGTATCAAAACGCACCACTTCTAAGCTCACCCCAATTTTTCTGATGACTTGTGATTATTATCGCAGCGAGACAAAGCATGACGTCGAACATACTGCCAATCATAGTCGCGCAAGCGTGTCCACGTTTTCCCTTAATGAGATTGCAAAACTAATGAGATGATACCAGAACACTAATAGGAACGTGTCCGGAAAACAAAAAGTTTTGAAAGGCTTTCAAGGAGCTCACCGGCGTATGATATCTCAGACCAATTCTTCCATCCTTGGCCACTTCCTTCCATGCTTTCTCTTTAGCTTTAGTGGAATGCTAAATAACCATGTTTTTTAAAAAAAAAAAAACGGGGGGGGGGGGGGGGGGGGGACGTAGATTTGGAAATAGTGTAAAAATGACAACATAAACAATGCAATATAACAACTCACGGCCACGCCATCTCCAAAAATCACATCCTGCCTTCGTTCGATGGCTCGAACAAATGCAATTTTTTCCTGCAGCTTCACTTCCCGTATTTCCGCAGACGAGGTTGCAAAAGACACTGTTGAGTCGGCAGCATCGGAGTCTTGAAGTGGTCAATAGAATTCATAACAGTGTCACTGCTAAGCAACACCTGACAGTTTCAGCAGACCTGTGAAACGAAGTCTGCTCCCTCTCCATCAGATGACGTTTCCCACACGTTGATTCTAGAACACTCCGTATAACATAACTGTAACAAAATTATTACTCTATATAAACCCAATGAAGGCGAGACATTACACTATGTCGGACGGTACTGCTCACACCTTACACTGTTACTGAATTCCAGTCTCTTTTTCTAAACTGCAGTGGGAAAGGGCGCATTTAGGATATAAACTGTTAAACCTGTTTTCAAGTGGTCCTCTTGAACCGTGACTGCTCACAATGTATTCATACGCACAATCACTGATGTGTCTCACTATGTAAACCAATTAGCTATAAAACAGCACTATTTACTCTTTACTGCCCCACTCCTCAAGAACTGATCCGGATTTTGACCGAAATCCGTCCAAGACTGAGGATTTGGCGACGTGCGACGGATTTGGCGTTGTTTTCGGTGGTACTTCGACCAGGAGAACACGATTATCCTTTGGCGCCGGCTTCTGGCTCGAGCGCCAGGCATTCTAGCAGTAAACGAATGTGATATTCGTGTTCTACGGGTCGAATTACCCCTGAAGGCAAGTTTCTAGCCAAATCCACAGTCATGGACCAATTTCGATAAAAATCCGGCTCAGTTCTCGAGGAGTGGGGCAGTAAAGGTAAATAGTGCCATTGAAACAATACACGGAGAAGTACCTCAGAAAATACTGCGTAAATATCCTTTATAGAAACGAAAAAACAATCAAATTGCATAGTGACTCAACCTGTGACACCCTACGTACAGTGGTTGGGTATTTGCCGCGCCTGGTTACCATGATGCATCTACGAACCGGAAGAAAAGCTATGACAGGAAATGATCAATCGTCTCGCTATTGATCGTCAGAGCAGTGAATTAAACTGTTGGAACGAAAAATAGTTCTCTCGT